GAGATATTCTTGATGAGGGGCTGGGGATTTAGCTCAGCGGCAAAAGCGCCTGCCTGGCAAGCGCAAGGTTGTGAGTTCGGTTCCCGGTACTGGAGAAAAACCAAAAAAAAAAAAAAAAAAAAAAGAGATATTCTTGATGAATAAGCAAATCTCACTTATTTCTTCTTACTGTACACACTGCAGTTTCTCTTGTGTTGCCAGTTTTCATTGTGGAAGCATGATATGGGACTTCTGTGGGATAATTTAAACATCAGGATATGTCTAGCAGAATTTTTTAATGTTCTAATCTACCAAATGACCCATTTTCATAAAAGAAGCTGTTGGCATTTTACCAACTCTCTGTACCTTTCCTTTTCCATGTTTCAAGAATGTATCTTTTATATACATAAAAGCAGCAAAAGAATGACCAGCTTTTGTCTGTCTTTGTTTCTCAAGTGCTTTGTGTATCCTCCCCAAAGCAGAGGTGAACACTTAAATATAGAGAAAAGGATTGAAAAGCTGAAAAATGTTACGTAGTTGGCAGATCATCTTACTGTATGTGTTTTCACTGTTTGCTCAATCTCTTTTAAATTAGAAATCCTAACACAGATGAAGAAATACTTATTCTATATGTGGAACTAGGCATACAGAAAATGTTGGATTTGCCTAATAATTTTCAGAATTGTAGCCTTTCTTGTGATCTGCCGCAGAACTGGAATAGTGATGAAAGCAACTCTTATCTTATAGAATGTACCTCTGATGTTGCTGTTGCATGAGAATATTTTTGCGGTAAAAACAAACAAGCAAAAACAAAAACAACAAAATTACTGCAATCACTTTCTACGTTCCAATCCAAAACCCTAGGATTTTCAGAAAATCTCCTAAATCTCTGTGATTCGAAGGAAATGCTCTTACTACACTGCAGAGGGGAAGTTTGAATGAATCAAAAGCTGCCTTGAATTAAAACAGCTGCAGAAATCATGGGCAGGTAACGGTAGAGTGGGGGAGACAATCGCCACTGTGTGGGGATGTGACACTAATCCTGCCTCAGCCTGGACATCCTGCTCTTGGCTGATCCTGGTGGCTGTGGTCATGGGGCTGTCAGGCTGAATCCCGGCAGTGCTGCTGGCTGACTGCATGACCGAGAAAAAAAAAATCATAGGCAGCATCTGAGAGGCCCTTTCTGAAAAATGGGAGTAACATCGACAGCTACATAGATGGGTTGTTGTGAGAACTGTGCCTGGCTGGTGGTACCCTCAGCTAGCAGTTGTGAACCCCAGTAATCACCTGTCATTTTCCATTTCTCCACCAGGTACCTTGGGATCACCAGGCCTCTCACGTACCCTGTGCGGCAGAACGGGAAATGCATGGCAAAAATGATCCTCTCGGTCTGGCTCCTCTCAGCCTCCATCACTCTACCCCCGCTCTTTGGATGGGCTCAGAATGTGAATGATGACAAGGTTTGCTTGATTAGCCAGGACTTTGGCTACACGATCTACTCCACTGCAGTGGCATTTTACATCCCCATGTCGGTCATGTTGTTCATGTACTACCAGATTTACAAGGCTGCCAGGAAGAGCGCTGCCAAACACAAGTTCCCCGGCTTCCCTCGCGTGCAGCCCGAGAGCATCATCTCTCTGAATGGCATGGTGAAGCTGCAGAAGGAGGTGGAAGAGTGTGCAAATCTTTCGAGACTCCTCAAACATGAAAGGAAAAACATCTCCATCTTTAAGAGGGAACAAAAAGCAGCCACCACCTTGGGGATCATTGTTGGGGCCTTCACTGTGTGCTGGCTGCCATTTTTCCTCCTCTCGACAGCCAGGCCCTTCATCTGTGGCACTGCCTGCAGTTGCATCCCGCTGTGGGTGGAGAGGACATGTCTGTGGCTGGGCTATGCAAACTCTCTTATTAACCCTTTTATATATGCCTTCTTCAACCGGGATCTGAGGACCACCTACCGCAGCCTGCTCCAGTGCCAGTACCGGAATATCAACCGGAAGCTCTCGGCTGCCGGCATGCACGAGGCCCTGAAGCTTGCTGAGAGGCCAGAGAGACCCGAGTTTGTGCTGTAAGGTCATTTACCCCTTTGTTCCCTCTATCTCCCAAACCGTTCATGCAAATTCTTGAAGTGCATCCCCAAATACTCCCTGAATTAGTAGCTACTTTATTTTCTACTAACATACTAGATTAGAATTCAGAATAGATTAGACTCCAGTCTTCTACCAGTTAAATTGCAAAATCCTGAGAGAAATTTAGCTGGACTGGAAGAGGAGAATGATTCATTCATGAATTGCAGTTGATGTGACTAATGACACAGGGGGTGGTATTTTCTCTTCTTTCTCCATAAATCATGTCTCAGTTATGTCATGTCTGGATTAATGTGACATTACCATTTTAATGGGTATTTATTCTTCCACCTGGTAAAACTCTTTTGATGGTCTCATACTTCATCAATAAATTCTGTAGCAGGAAACAAAAATGATCTTTCTAGTATGGAATTACATTCATACAGGAGATGCCAGGATGGGGCAAGGTCTTAAATGCCACAGGAGCTTTCAGGAAGTGCTGCCCACTCTCTTGGCAGTTGAGAACTCCTAGAGTTGTTGAGTTTGCCTCAGTGCCTAAGAGCATCGAGTTACAAAAAAGACCCCAAAGGGCTAACGGGCACAAGGAAGTGGAACTTTCACAAGTAACCCATGTGGTCACAAATTTGAATTGTAGAGTAGGAAAAAGAAAGGAGAGCAGAGCTCTCAGGTCAAGAGAAGATTTTGTTTTAAATGTAGGAAGATGATATTTCTTCATGCTGGAAAGCTGAGGGAAAGGAAATTTGGAAGAAGAAAATGGAAGGAGGTGCTGGTGAGAGCATGCAGTGTTGGGAGTGTGGGAGGAGGAAGTGTTCCTCCTCTCTGTCCCTGGTGGGAAGAAACAAACAGAGAGTGCTCTAGCCAAAAGGAGCCTCTCCATTCACTTTGTCCTGTCCTTTAATTTGACAGAAGTGGTCACCGAAACTTAGAGAGATCTCCCACACTTAGCTAGTGTCACAATTAAGTCTAGGTCCCACACCATCTAAAGCCTAGTGCCACACATTTTTTACATACCAGGTTGCCCTTATGTTACAGCTGCAAGTTGGTAGGCCATAAGTATGTTAATTCTTGACTGGGTGTAGCTTCATAGGTACTCATTTTTACTTCTCTTTATACATTGCTTTGTACACAGGAAATTATTAACAATGTGAAAAGTAGCATTTTAAAAAGATAATATTATTTCAGGTTCCAGAATATGTTCAGTAGCTGACATAGTAGATGATTAACAACGAAAATAATTGCTAAAATTATTAAACAGTGTCCACATACTGTGCACCATATTACTTGTAAAGTGGGTGCTTCCAGTATCCTCAGGTTTTGGAAGAATAACTTGAGGTTCAGGGACATAAATGACCTATGATCACATGGATGTCATATAAATCACCTCAGCATATATTCTCTTAATCATTATGTAGTACTACCTGTCAAGATTGAGGTCTGCAGACAGTGAAGAGCTGTCTATCAAATGTTAAGAGCTAGGGTTTTAGCCACTGACTCTGTAAGAAGACAAACAGAATGAACTATTATTTAGAGGAAGTTAAACTTATTAGATATATTGCATTATGGGAAGATATCTCTTAGAATCTTAGTAGACAAGTATATTGATAGCGTTTTAGGGCTTGAGCTGGGTGTTTTAAGGTAGAGAACTGAGGAGGACTGGAAAATGTTGAATTGGTGGGTGCAGTAAGATGAAGTCTTTGAAGGAAGTATTAATGAACAAATAATTAGTCTTAGTAAGTAAGCTATTTTAGCTGGTGTACAGTCCTATCTCATGGAAGCAGCTATATCTTGGAACATATGGCTGGATTATTTTGCCTAGTCCTAGGATTGTTTTGCCCAGGAAAAGGAAAGAATGTTGGTTTCAGTTCTCAGGAGTCACATGATAAGGGGTATCTTTGCAGAAAGTCTTGGGCAATAGCGAGCAGGCCAGGCAAAAGGCAAGCCTGAGTTGTACGGGGGTCCATTAAGCAGCTAAAGGAAGTGCAAATACTACCCTGAACTAGAAAACATTACTATAATTGCATGCATTCTTTAGAGCTGGTGGATCAGGTGATGAAACTAGAAAACATTACTATAATTGCATGCATTCTTTAGAGTCAAAGAATTTAAGAACAATTTTATTATTTTAGCTAATAATTCACAGATAATTCAGGTAATGAAATGATAATTTTTAAAGTACCATGAATGGGTTTTTTAGTTTAAAATGAATAATAAACCAACATATTTATTAAGAATTCATTTTCAGGCACTGTGCTGAGCACTGTATAGGAATTATATCCCTTAATCCTCAAGACTTTACTTCTTCCTGTCCATTGTGAATATGACAAAACAAGGGCTTGGGGAGATGATGTAATTTTCCCACAGTAGTACAGTGAGAGTGATAGAGCTGGACTTGAGTCCAGGAAGTCCAAGTCCAAAAGTGATTTTAGCTTTCATATGACTGTGCCTCTTACAGAGGTAAAGTAGTAACATAAAGTACAACAATATTTGCTTTTGTGTCTTTAACTGAATCCTTGGGTGTTGTTTTCCTAGTAGTCTAACTTAAAACTCTTACTGTGAAGGGCCAAAAAGTAAATATTTTAAGCTTTGATAGTCATATGGTGTCCATCAAAACTACTCCTCTGTGCCTTTATTATCCACATAAGTTAACAAATGCATATGACTGTATACCAGTAAAACTTTATTTATACAAGGGGAGGATGGGCAGCTGAATTTGGCTCATAAGCCAGTTTGCTATTCTTTGTTTTAAAAGAGTTACTATCCTCTTATGTCTTTCTCAGTTTTAATTTATAATTATAATGTATAAAAATAATTTAGGAAGATTGGCATCAAAATATATGAATTTTAGGAAATTTCCAGTGATAGAGCTGCTGCATGTACTTGGAGTAACTGTTATTTTTTTCACTAACTCTATACCAGGCAGTTTTCTAGTTAGCACCAATATTGGACTATTTCTTTTTCAATTCTTTTAAAGGTAATTTCCATGGCCTAAGGTAAATACTGAAATTATGACACTTTTACTGTTATAGATGTATTTCTATTGGACAGACCATAGAAACACATTTATATGCTGCTGTGGTCTAAATGTTTGCATTCCTCTCAAATTCATGTGTTGGAATTCAATCTCCAGTGCAATAGTATTTCTTTTTTGTACCAGGAATTGAACTCAAGGCGTTGCATTTGCCAGGCAGGCGCTTGGGCCATTGGGCTATATCCCTGGCCCTAAGGGCAGTAATGTTGAAAGGTGGGACTTTTAAGAGGTGATTAAGTCATGAGGGCTCTGCTTTCATGAATGGGATTAGTCTCCTTAAAAAGAGACCTTAGGGAACTTGTTTGTGCCTTCTGCCATCTGAAAAGGTAGCTAGAAGGCACTGTCTTGTGAGCTAGCCACTGCATTTGACGGTATCTTTTAGTAATTTTTGTTGTTTCAGGGTACCGTGATTGTGGACCTCCTAGCCTCTAGAAATAAAATCTTGTTGTTTATAAGTTACTGAGTTTATGGTATTTTGTTATAGCAGCCCAAATGGACCAAGATATGTACATTCGGCAGTTTTTTAAAGGTAAGAAAACATGGAGACTGGAAAACCTATAGGATTGAAACAAGAGGAAAATAACTCAGAGCTTACACTAATGCTGATCAGAGAAGACTCCCTGAAGGAAAACTTCCTTCCAAGTGTGTCTCTGAAGGTGGGATGGCCAAAGATGAACAGAAATGGCACTCCAGGTGAAGGGGACATTTTACATAGAGACACCAATATAGGAAGTTATGAAAAGGATAGCCTGGCTGAAGCTAAGGAAAGAGATGGAGATCAGAGTAGAAAGATGGATTGAGGCAACATTATAAAGGATCTTCTAGGCCAGCTCCAAGAATTGGGACTTTTAGTGTAGATAAGTGGTTCTCAACTTGGAGTAATTTTTTTCCCTCTCTCTTGGAGACATTTGACAGTATTTGGAGATTTATTTGGTGGTTACAACTGAGGTGTATGGGGTAAACTACTGACAGTCACTAGGTAGATGCCAGGGAAGCTGCTAAAGGTCCTGCAAAACACACATCAGCCACCCACAACAAGGAGCTATCCAACCCATAAGCTAAAGCTGAGAAACACTGATGTGGATAGATCTCTGCAACTAGGATATAGAGTCATCAAAGTGATGAAGACTAATTTAGTAGCACTGTGTGGGGTGAACCAGAGACAGAGGCTGGATGTAGAGTTTCTCCTCTGATTTATTTTTGAGGACCTACTATGTAAAGGTTTGACGCCAGACATGGCAGGAGTAAAAGGATGAATACATGATAGTCCTTGCCACTGGAAACTCATATATGTACTGTGATTGAAAAATGTGAATATTTAAATTTTTAAGAATGACAAAAAAAAAATCACATTGCCTCAAAATACTTGCCCTCATTTGGAACACACTTATCTCTCTTGCTAGTTTATAAGCAGTTGTGGAAAGTCCCTTTTCATGAATGTCAGTTGCACTGTTGTGGCTACTTAAATATCCTGAACTGATTCAAAACATTTACTTGTAATGGCCATCTTGATTTTGGGGTGAACCAGAAGTGGCGTGGTGCCAGAGCTGGTGGATCAGGTGATGAGGACACGTCATCGTGTTTTGATGAACCTGACTGTCTGTTGGGTAACAGTCGGCAGCAGCATTCACTATATTTTGATCATGTCTTTTGTAAAGGGGCCTTCCAGATCTGCTTCTGAAAGTGGCAAGAACAATGGGATGGATGTGTTCAAAGTGAGAGAGTATTTTGAGGGATATTAATGGCAATGTGTCTTTTACTGTAATATTTTGAAAAAAATTTAAACACTCACTGTATGGTTTGGTCAGCTTTTGTAGTCCAGTGGCTGGGTACTGTAGAGGGAGTGGTGATTGCTAGTAAAAGACTTGTAATCAAAATAGGAACCCCATGGTCCACAGTCTGTAGAGTTGCATTAAATTAACCATGAGGTGGATAACCCAAAACAACCCAACAGATATGAACGGCATAATCAGTTAGTTTCTGGAGTCTCTGGAAGAATGGCAAAGGGCATCTAATTCATACCTCATAGCAAACCTGAGAATACTTCTCCCTCTATCCCTCCTATATCCAGAGGCCACCCTAAGGACTCTGGACCCTCTGCTCTGGTTTCCCCAACTTTTTTCCTCCCACCTAGCTGTTTATTATTTCTGCCTCTTATTCTGCTTGCTTGACTATCTTTTTGCTCTCTCATAATAGTTTTCATTCTTTTCTGCATGAACAATCTACTAGACTGTTGCTACTTCCAAATATTTACCCTTTTCTTCCAGTTTTCTTAATCACCATAACCAGAGCCTCAGGAATCCTGCAGGCACTTGAGAGTTTTTCTTGGGGTAACAGAGTGAATAGACAGAAAAAGCTGTTAATCCTTTTGCACCGATAATTCACTATTATCAATTTTAATCTTTTTCACTTTTTCACAAATGTTCCAATACTGGTAATGCAAAGCCAAATGTGATAATGTGATGTAAGCAGGGATTTTTTTCTTTTTAATTGTGTGACTTTACTTAGGGATTTGAATTGCTATAAATTGCTTTTAAATGTCAGGTTTTGATGACTTGTTCTTTGATACCATTTGTGAACAATATTGAGAAACAGCTTCTAAAACATTTTCCATATAAAATCATGTCATGAAGTTGTTCTGAAGTCCCTCTTTCCTCCCCTCTCCCTTTTTCTCCTTGGTGATTATAATGTCTTTCTCTCCAAAGAGCCTCTTATAGTCCCTGTCAATGCAGTGGCTCTTAACAGTGACTTGTAGCAGAGTAAACTTGAGTTTCTGCCATGAATTCTGTCAATGTGTTGCTCCAGGGTTTATGCTGAAGCTTTGGAATTCAGCGTGATTCTACCTTTTTTTAATGGAAACAATAATGTAAAAATAATAAAAGTGAATGAAATGGACCCCAGAGGCAACTGGGCAGAAACATGAAGTGTACTAAATCCCTGGGTGTTTTTGATAAGTTGCTACTTTAAAAAGACAGAAATAAACAAAAGGTTTGCTACTGTATGGACTTTTTGCCCTCATCATAAACTGGCTGAAATTCAGCACTTGTCATCAACTACTACTACTACTAATAATTTATTTGCTTCATGCTTTGTAACTGCTTATATTTCACTTTTGCAACATCTCCTTAAAGTAGGAAAGGTGGGAGATTGCCCCATTTTTGTTTGATTGCGGTGCTGGAAGTCAAACCAAGGAGGCCTCATGCATGCTAAGAACATGTGTTTCCACTTACTTATATACCCAGCCCTACCCTCTTTTACTCTATTTTTTTTGAGAAGACAATAAACACACCTAGCAGAATATAAACTTTAAGCAATGCAGAAGGGGGTATTCTTAAGAAGAATACAGAGGGGCAGCATTCTTAGGAAGATAATGTCCATATGGAAAACATGACAGAGATGATACTTGAGGTGGATCTAGAGTGTGATAGGGGAGGATCTAGGAGGACAACATGGTCAGAGGGGCACTGGGAAGCTGGGTGGAGTGGCATCAGCCTGGTGGATAGGACTGAGGGGGGAGATGAAAGCTTTTGTGCAGGAGTGAGCCCAAGCCCCCGTGGACATGAGGTAGGGAAGGCCTCACAGCAGAAGGAATATGGATTTCAAGACTAATGTAAGCTAAGGTTTTGTTCAAGATGGCTTGTGCTGGGAGGGTGGTGCTTACAGTAGGAAATAAGCCAAGGGTGCCTGAGCTTTTGGAGGCTGGACTCCCCAGTTTGTCACCACTGGCTGGCAGGTGGGGGTGATTGGTGCTGCGAGTGAGGCTTGTGACTCTCATGATAGAGTCACAAACTGGTGCCGGTGCATGATGAGCTGCAGAGGATGCCTGGGTGTGGTCTCCTCTGGGTACTGAGAAGAGAGAAAGGCCCCAGGCTAGGAGCAAGTGTCTATGGAACATGAATGGGGACACTGTCTGTTTCCAGCCCCCATCCCCAAATGCTCAGGAGCCCAGAAAGCAGGGTCTGAGCTGCTGTGCAGCCTTTGTTCTGAGGCACCATTGTGTGTGGTTGAGGGGTAAAGCCAGCGACCATGTCTTACAGAGAAACAAATCCCGTGACCAGGAAAATCCATCCAGTGAGTCACACATCTGATTAACTGAGCTGAAAGGGGGCTGTTAGCTGAGGGGGAGCAGTTGGGAGCACATGTCCAGGTCTGGGACTCCTAGTGCCAGCTCTGCAGCACGAGGTACTGTATGGTAAACCGGTGCTTGTGAAGGCATGGTGTTAGGGGAGTGTGGATCTCCACCAGGAGGAGAAAGAGACTTTCTCAGCTGTTGGCTCACACTTCTCCGTGACTCATGCCACTTTTGTGAATTTGAAAGGAGGAAGTGAAGGAAGTAGGGTTTTTGTTTCTGCGCACATAGGTTGCTTCAAACATTACTAGGCCTGAAGGGGAGGATGCTTCTCATTAGGAATTGTTCTTGTAGCTGTCATTCTTTCTAGTAGGGAAAGTGCTATAGTATTTTGCAAGGATTTTGAGGAGCAAAGCCATTTTGGTTTATAGCCGTATTGTAAAGAGAATTTCTAAATGGCTTATTGGGGGTTGATTTGCAAATATATTAAGGCCTTGGCAACTTATATAAGTTATGAAATTTATGAAAAACGGCACAGCACTTTTTCTTTCCCTTTGGAGATGCTCATAAACCTTTAGAAGCCACAAATGATTCAAGTTACTGACTGCTATAAAAATTTAAATCCACTCACTACAGAAATGGAAACTCACATTTACGGTTCTTCTAAAACATTTTCTTGTCTCTCTCTTTTTTATAGACAGAACTCTGACTACTGTAGAAAAAAAGGTCATGATTCATGATCCAAAGCAGAATAATGGAGGTGAATTAAACAAGGCAAAACAGGTGGAAACAGAACGAAGTTATTTGCCAAGACTGCAAAATGGAATGCGGCTTCTGCCCCTTTCTTGGGATGGCCCAGACATCACAAACAGGGTGATCTGTTGTACAAAGTACATCATGGGGGAGATGGTGACCTCTCTGTTTTTTTGTGGATCAATGCTTTTGTGTGCCAATGAAAATAGTTCTCAGTGTAAGACAGCCAGATCATCTCAGCAGTAAGCACACTGACAGAACTGAGTTCCAGAAGGGAAACAGTTTCTGGTGCTTTGCATACGTCCACATCCATGCAAGTGGGAGAAGGTACCAACACACACACCCCTAATGCTTCTAAGTCTAGGCATTTTGGTGAATATTCAGGAATCATTCATGAGCCAGAATGTATTTTGTTGTATGACAAAAGGTATCTTTCCAAGAAAACTGTGGTAAGCATAGTGTTGAATATGTTGCATGTCTATGTTAGAAAACGAAGTCCAGTCATCAGCTAATACAAATGATTTCCCCAGAGCAGTGTTTGTTTAAAGCTTTTGTCAAATAGTTTGGCTTTTCTGCAGGGTCCTTGTGATTTCCCACTCTTTGTTAACTCCTCGCTGTTATGGTATAACTCAGGAACAGGTCTCAGGATGGAGAGCAGCATAAAACCTGGGTTCATCTTTTTCTTGCACTTGCACTTCTGAGGAGTCCTGAGAAGTGGGAGGGCTTCCTTTTGTGAGAGTTTGTACTAGGATGAAGAATGAGTGCTACCTACCTGCATTGTATATTCACATAATTATTGGCATGTTGTTTACTCTCACTTTATATGAGGGTGCAATGAGCCCATGGGACTGCTCTGTAACTGTATGATATAAGGAAGAATTGTTGCAATAATAGGTTTCTATAAATGGTTGTGGTGCTCTGGAGCTGGAGCATAAATGTATTCGTTCAGTTGAGTTACGTGAAATGGAGGTTACCTGTACCACCATTGGGAAATGTTCCATCTAAAGAATCTGTTTCTGTGTTCTCTGTATCTTAAATCAAATGTGTGCCTGGATAATTCTGTCCCCTTTCCCCTGCCCCTTCTCCAAGAAGAGTAGTAGACATGATGGGTAGGTAAGGGAACAGAAATGGTCCTTTCAGAGGATAGTGTTTTATAAAGCAATTTACACTCAGTCTGAACTAAGGACATAGAAAGACAGTAGATCAGGAAAATACCTATAACTATAAGGGGAAAATGAGTGCAAACCTTCATTGAGTAAAAGAGAACTGAAAGAGAATATTATTTTACTACAATGAAAGAAGCTGTCCTGTCACAGGATAAAGTGGAACTCCAACATGGATTTGGGACTTCTTCCAACTGTCACTGACATTGCTTCTTACCAGATGCAGGGAAGGGCTGCCTGCAAGGGGAGCTCGGCACTGTCCTTTCAGACAAAGCTTGTACAAATTCCCAAACTGCAGATTTGCTAAAGTGACCATATATACTTATATTCACAATTTAAATGATTGATGATGGTCAGATACATGTTGTTAAATTTAAAAATGTTTTATTACATTACATCAATAAAGGTTATTTGTAGCTGTAATAAAGAAACTTAAGTAATTGTTTTTAATGAAAGGTCTGATGTCATATGTGTCATATGTGTTGCGATATGAAAGATGGCAGAAGGGCAAATTTTATATGTGTTAAATTTCTAACACTGGACAGTTTTGTACTAAATTACTCTTCAGTGTGAGGATTCAATTCTATAATGACAATTTAAAGACAGTGTTTATCTCTTGATTTGATTAATGGGTATTTATGGGCTCCTTTTCCATTCATCACTGTAGGTGTTGAAGGAATAAAAACAGGTTTGGCACAGTCTTTACTTTTAAGGAGTTTGCCCAGTAGAATGCAGACGTATCTCAAAGTGTCACAATATAGTATAACAAGTGCTGTTGCAGGCTGCAGGAAGTGATGCTCCTCTTTCCTGTCGTAGAAGACAGGATGTTATGGTTAGTTGTATTTATTTAGGTTTTCAAATATGCTTGTTTAATTTTTTATTAGGACTTTAATTATCCACGTTGGCTCTTTCTCCTGCCGGACACACCTACATATTGAACTATTTGCTTCATTCTGGCCATTGGGAGGGCTGCGCTTCATGTGTACACTGCACTGTAAATACATGACAGTGCAATGAAGGAAATGGTAGCAACTGAAAGGGAATAAAAAAATGAATAGTATTCACGTATAATGTAATTTGTGCTGGAGATACAGCTTTCATTTTAACTAAGAGTTGAGAAAAATCATTGGCATAAACTTTTTATATATATTTTGTTCCTGTTCAAGTAAAAATGAGTCTTATGACTAATCTCTCTTCTCACTCTAGGGTATCAGCTGTCATCTTCTGGCAAGGCTGAGTTTGGGGAAGCCATGCTTGGGAAGTGAAGTATTTGTAAGAGATAAATAAATCCCTGTTGCCTTAGTACTTAGTTTATTTTGTAAATATTAAACAGGTGGCACTCACAGAGTTCCTGAATTTTATGGAAATTGTTTCATAACTCTCAAAGCATTTACCACGGTGTTTGAGATGCTTGTGTATGTGCTATATTTGGTGATTGTGTTTACATTCAGTCTTATTAGGTTCATTGATTGCAGGAATGAACTCAACAATAGGATTTTAAAATGCAGTCTATTTTTCAAATTGTTTATGCTAATGTAATTGAATTGCCATCTGGAGATGGTAGGACTTTTCCTTTCTGCATTTCAACTACCAAATGAATTATCAACTTCAATTACCAATTTAATTTAATGGATATAAATGTGTATAAATCTTAACTTATTTCAAACAGTCCATGTTCCTTCACATCTCAGAATCTTCACACACACCTTCCCCCTCTGTCTGGGATAATCTTCCTGCTCTCAATTATTTTTTTGATATATGTCTTTATCATTGTTCAGTAATTCTTTAGGGGTAGGGACCACGTCCTTTTCCTCATCAATGTGTTCCTTTATGTAGCACCGTCGTTGGAACATAGATATTGTAGACATGCAATCAGTGTTTCTTATGACATTGTGTTTAATTTTCATATGAGGAACTGAGGAGACAGGGCAGGACCAGTGAGTGGGAGAAGGAACTGGAATTAAACTCTTCTGTGAACACCAGCAAGCAGGCCATCTACTACACGGTGCTGCTTCTTTTGCATGAGTTACTCATATCAAGAGAGTGACCTCTTCTTAATTTTCTGCACTAGTGGAGTAGAGCTGGGTATGTGCTATGGCCCGTATGTTGAAACTTGTTTATCTATAGCTAGCCAGATGGTCCTGAACAGCAGACAGAGAAGCCATTTGGAAACTTTCAGAGGATCATCACTTCTGAAAACATTCAGAGTAATGCAGATAGGGATGCCATTACTTACTCAGAGCTTATAGTGAGGAATACCATGTGAGATATTATGTGTAAACATGTAGACTTCGAGAACCGACTCAGGGGATCTAGTTCCAGACACAGATTTAACTGGATGGCTTTTTAAACTTGCATTGTGTACACATTCTCTGGAGAATAAAAATAACTTCCTAACATGAAAACATTGCTTTTTAGGTCCCTATTAGGTTAAATAAAAATTTAAAAATACTTGCTCAGGTAGTAAAGGCTAACAAGGAGATGATGTGATCAACAAGAACATAAAAACAAAATGTGCTATGGCTCCTGTGAAATAGGTAGAGAGAGAGGTTGATAAGTAGAAGTAGCTTTGCAGATAACAGGTTGAGTCGTAGGCATTTCAAAAAAATTAAGAGGAAGGAATTATACTTGTGCTGGTAGAAGAGAGAAGTGGTAATCCAAAGCATCAGATGGTAGGAAATATCTGGAGTTTATCTTTGATATGTATTATGTAGTATTTTTGGTGGCAAATTACCTTTCTTAATTACAGTCCTATCAAGCTATTATTAAGATGCTCTTTGTTCTTTAAACCCACACAGTCTCACAGCAAGAGAGCTGGTTCAGAGCTACAATGATAGGCAGCAGAAAGTCAGCTGTAGATATAAAAGGTTATCATTGACAGTTTCCAAAGTCAATAACACACCTGCAGGAAAATGAGATATGACTGCATCCATGGAGAATCACGGCACTAAGAATCTCGTGGATGGTCAGCTCCAATCTTCTGTCATATTGTAGGTAACAAAACTGTAAACCAGAGCTGTGTTTTATCTGAATTTGTTTAAAGAGAATGGTATACAGCAGTGCTTTGCAAACTACCTTTGATGAAGTTATTATTTTAAAAATCTGTCACATACCTGTACATTTGAAAAATATAATAAAAATGTATTCTAAGAAAAATGTAACAAACAGGCAGAATAGAAGACTGCTATTTTTCTTACTGGAGTCAACATAAATATGATAAGAACAGGCATAACATGGAGAAAAAACCCACAGAAATTGACCATTGTTCACTGAATGTGAGTAGTGGTTACTCTGTGAAGAAGTCACCACAGCATACTCATTCCTTGTACTGGTAGGACATCAAGTCTGCAAGGCTCTTCTGCAGTGGGCTGTGATGAGGGGGTCCTAACAAGAAGTGCAAGGACTGCTAAAGAGCAGCTTGTCCCTGAGAACGACCCCTGGAGCAGTACGGTACAGAGGAGCTTCCTGTTTCAGTCCATGCTCTGAAATAGTCATGAATTGGCTTCTAAACTGCTGCTTCTAAAATTTTTCCCGTTTTTTTCTCATAAGTGACCTACAGTTAGAGTGAATCCACAATGCTGACCTAAAAGCATTGAAAGATATTTTTACTAGTCAGTTTTCCTTTCACTGAGGCATAGTACCCAACATCCACAAAGAAAAAGGGTTTAGCTTAGCCCACAGATTTGAGGGATTCAGTCCATTATTGACTGGCTCCAGAGAAGAAACTTGGTGGAAGGGTGTGACAGAGCAAAGGTGCTTAGTTGATAATGACTGGGAAGCAGTAAGGGAACGGAAGCAGAGAGGAAGGGTTGAGGGACCAGACATAGACCAGTCACATCTCCATGACTTACCCAGATATACCTGGAAGTGTGCTCCACAGTCACCTGGATGGATCTCAAAGCAAATCAAGTTGACACTCCACCCTAACCATCATGGTATTTACTTTTCAGGGTAATTATATTAATTAAGTTGTTCTCAAGGCAAAGAAAGTACTAAACTTTGACAGTGTCACCAACAAATTTTAAAGGCCAAAGATGGTATTATTAGAAAGGTTGTTATGGAGTGAGCATTATTTTATATCTGAAACCCAGTGTTTCCAAACTTAATTCTGAATAAGAATTATCTAGTAACTTATTAAATGTGTAGATTCCTGGACTCTGTTTCAAGAGATTCAAATATGCTCTGTTCTGGGGTGGGATGCAGAGTGAAGCAGCCTTTTAACCAGCCTACCAGGTGACTCTGGTGCTGCTGGTCTGGGTTCCAAATGTTGAAATTTTCTGTTTCTAAACATGCTATCAAACTGACTTACTTAGCCAATTGAGTATGCTGTTAGTGTCAAAATACATAGTCATGTGAAATAATATATAAATAATTTGTGTATAATTATAGACTCTCCAGTCACTTCTTCAAAAATGGATGCACCTTGAGATCATAATATTAAGTGCAGTAAATCAGACACGAAGCTTAAATATTGCATGGCTTCTCTTATATGAGAAACCAAAAATATTAATAAAGAGCAAAAGAAAAGACAGATAATAAGAAGTAGGAAAATAGATCTTTCTCAGATGGGAAGGGGATCAAGAGATGGATGGGAGGTAGGGGATGAAAAAAAGAATTAAGATGTGCTGTGTACATATACCAACTCCTCACAAGGAATGTAATCACTATGTACAATAAACATGTACTAACAAAAAATACACACCAGAAATCCAGGGAGCTTGTGGAGGAAGCTCACAGATCACTTTAGATTGTTTGCTACTATGGATCACTACTCAGATTGTTCACTAAGGTTGTTCACTACTATGATACCTAAGACATGTTAAGATGCTTAACTTTTTGTTTTTGCTAGTGCATGTTTGTGGTAATTTTTTAGTTTCTTTCTAACTTGATCTTGAGATTTTTCTGCTGAAAGTGGCTATAAGCCAGAACAGTCACTCTTTTTTTTATTTTTTTTATTTTTAGGACAGCTACTGTTTAAGAGCTATGACCAGGGCAAAGTCAGGGTCAGGTGAGACACAAGAAGAACTTACTACTCAGGTCCTAAAGAAGTTAAGGGTGTTGAAGGGGCTGATGATAGTCCTGGAGGAGACAGAGCTCAGCTAGTGGGTAGGGAGCTAGAGAAAACCTTTATTAAGGTCCACGGGAGTTATCTGTTAGATTTTCAGAAGGCTCATGGATTGGTAAAGGAAAACATGGAAAGGTAGAAACTTATTTACAAGATTCTGGTGTTAACTCTTATGGTTTTTGTGGTCAGCAGCTATGGGATGTGTTGGATTTTGGGTCAGTAAGGGGTGGAGTAGTGGGCTACTAGCATACACACACAAATGTATAGTGAAATTCTAACTAGATGAAGGTGATGGGACACATTTGAGTTTTAGATAACTTATATCAGTCCTTAAAATGGACGTCAAAGCAACAACTG